GACAGACTTTCTTAATCCCTTTGTTGCAATGCAAGGATGCCAACACTGGCCAGTAGGCGGTACAATTATTTATAGGTAATAATTCCAGAACAGAAAGTGAATGGAAATGTAACAATGAATGAACAAAAAACCCCAGGGTGTTGGTTTGACCCTGGCCAGCAGCTGTTAAGATATCTCCAAGAGATACTGCGTGTGCATTGCCGACTGATGCTCTCGGGTCCGAGCGCTCCTCAGAAACCAGCTGTTGCTGCAACGGGGGAAGGAAAAGCAGAGGCAGGCAGCTTGGCTGATTTTGTCACTCCTTTTAAAAAGGTAAAAAAAAAAAGAAAGGAGGAGAAGGAAGGAGGAAGGAGGAAGGAGGAAGGAGGAGGGGAAGGGGAAGGAGGAGAGGAGCACTGGTGGAGGAGCAGAAATGCCAGTGTAATTTGGGGTGAATGATAAATAAACCAATAGTTTGCTCAGCAGCAGCGACGCAGCCGTCGCCGAGAGTTTCCCTCAGCTGTGCTGCCGCTCGGGAGCTGCAGAAGGGCCGCGTTGTTCCCAAGGCCCTGCTGCAGACAGCTCTGCGCTTGCATCTGCATTGGTCTCCACTGGTGTTACTCTCCAATTAAGACAGAACTTAAAATAGTGAGGAGGTGAAAGACTGCAACACAGAACGAACCACACTGTTATTTATGGACTGCGTTAAACTAACACCAGCAAAATCCTCATCTCCTTGAGCAGGCAATAAAAAGCGATTACAGCACGAGGCTTCCTCAGCCTCTCGCCAGCCAGATTGCCCAAACCTGTTTGCCAGACGTTCCTGAAACACTGCACAGAAGGCATCAAGAATTACGTCCTGAGCTGGAATTAAATGGTATCTACCCTTAGGAGCAGAACAAGGCAGGTGGGCAGACCTGGAAAATATCCCAACCCACCGTGGCTTATTGTGATCCCAGGGACGACTCCAGCCCTTTCCTAACGTTCTGCATACCAAACGAGATTAGAAATATTTTTCCTTGTTAAGCTGAAGGAGAAAGATACTGAGGACCCAAGGCCTCATTAAGAGCAGCCTTGTGAGCAGAGGACTGTAATGCAATAAAAATCAACTCTGCTGCAAATACCAGCTCATTCACTCCTCTTGCTGCAGGTTACTCTGCTTTTCTTCCAGTCACTTTTATCTCTAGGCTGAAGTCCTTACAACCACTGATGGTTGTAAGGCACAAGCTGGGGTCTCCTCCTGTAAAGAAAAACATTGAATTCCTGGCACCTGCTGACTGAAATCCTAACCTGAACGCTGCGACAGGCACAGCCCCTCTCTGCTCTGGCCAACATGCCAAAAGATGGGCAGAGCACCCAAAGTGCCAAGTGTTGGCACTTTACTCTCTTAAATTTGATATCTTTGAGGGTGTAAGGTGCAGCTTGCAGCAGTGAACGTTCCTGGTACGGTAAAAGATCATCAAGTCCCTGAGCAAGCTGATGTGACTCCATTAAGTTCACAGGAGAGACTCTAATTTACACCTCGATTTTAATAACATCACCTGAGTCATCTCATTCTCCTGGTAACAATGTTCTTTCTCTTTTGATTAGAAAACAATCTCACCATAAT